GCTCAGCTGACTCCGACCCATTATCTCCAGCTGATCCAGTCAAATGTGCTGTGGGAACAGGGCTATAAACCCCCAACAGTCAAACTGATATGGATATAAGGTGGTATATTGCATATAAGGAGAAAACAGAGGCATGGAAAATGCACACAATTATGTATTATTAACTATTAATATAATAATATAATATAATAAATAAAAGAAGGAAGACTACTACGCAGTACATTGTACTAGTACCAGTACCTGTACTACTACTAGGAGGAGGACTACTAGTAGTACGCAGAGGAGAAAATAAGCTTGATGTTTCTCATTTTAAATTTCTGCCAGGAAGGCAGGTCAGGTGAAAGGACCAGGCAACAAAGGCAGAAATGGGGCAACGCTTGCAGTGTGTGGTGAAAAAGTCAAGGTGGCAACCCCGACTGTGTGATTGAAGCTCCATCCATTTTTGTGTGTGTCGCGGCTGCCATCTTGACTTTTTTCCCCACGCCCTTTGGATACCCCTGATTCCTAAAATCCACAGAGGAGAAATGGAAGTAGAGTTGAGCCAAATGTTGGGGAGCACCTTGTGAGTGGGGCTTCACCTTGCAGAAAGCAACCCTTCCTCCTGTTTGGGAGGGGCACCGTCTCTACATACAGCAACTTTGAACTAAAGGCAATCAGTGGTCATGACCACAGTCTCACATTCAGCGGAGGAGCAGTTGGAGGAATCCAGTATTGGCTGGGGATCTGGACCCAATGCCTAACACCAGAGGCTGAACGTAGGGCCCAGGGCCCATGACCTCCATTATCAGCTTCAAGGGCCATGTCCTTGTCTGGCATTCTGAGGGAGGTTGTCCTCTAATAAGGTGGCTCAGAGCTGCATGAGTGGCTCGGAGAGGATCAAAGAAGCAGAAGCAGGAGATCCGGTTGTGAGCTGGGAGGAAAAGAGGCAAAGTCATGAAACATTTCAGACTAGTGAATTCTTGGCTCAGCCCTAATGAAAACTGAAGAGTTTCTAGAAAGAAAAGGGGTTTCTAGAAAGAAAAAAGCATTTATTCTGAAAAACCATAGTAACTGAAGCCTCTGTTAAACCAGCCATCCGTTGCCAGTTTAAGTATCAGCTAAGAGACAACAGGCCCAGTGCAGAAAGTCTGCATCTTAGTAAAGTCCAAGGTTCTAAAATGTAAGCACTACACTAATTTCATCCTAATAATATAGTACCTAATATTTTTATTACTAACATTCCAAGCATTTGCTTGCTATTCCCCCCAAATTATATCAGTATCAGATTAGTACTGCTATTTCCTTATTCCCTAATCCTCCCCTTCACCCTGGGAAGCCG